GGGGCACCGGGCGCGGAGCATCCTCCGGGCATCCAGGCCGAGGGGTGCCCGAGGGCGCCCGGGAGTTGTGGGAGCGCTCGGAGCAGCTGCACGTTCATCCCCCGCGTAAAGGTTTAGTGCCTGGTCCCAAATTCTGGCTAAAACCACCAGGTTTTGTCCAGACCCCCCTGACAGCCGGGAGAGCAGCCCCCGCTCAGCCGGTGTTTTCAGCCCCGCACCTCTCTCCTGGCAGTGTTTTGATGAGCAGAAGTTCGTGGCACGCTTGGTTTTGGCCCCCAGACGTCCACCTGTTCTGCTTCCAAAAGCTGTGATCCGTATAGTTCTTGGGTTCTGCTCGTCTGGTGTTTGGGAGCTTTCTCCTGTCAGGGTAACATGGGCCATTATTGATAAGGAAAAGTCTAATGAATCCCAGTTAAAAATACATAAAGCATGAGAAGTTTGTCTTAGATGATACTGTCTACCCAGGAGATAGGTGGAGAGGAGGAGGAGCGGACAGTGTTTTAGTTACACATTGAAAACTCACTGAGTTTTCACAGGAAATTCTGTGCAACGGAAGAATTTAAGTTTGTCTTATCAGTCTAAAAAGTTACCAAGATAGCAGCAGAGGGCATAAGCACCCATCCATCTTCCTGAGATGAGATATTTTCACACTTTCTGAGAAAAGGAAGCTACTAAGGCATGCTTGTCTAAAATCATGTTATTTCCCCCAACAATTGTAGAATAAAGCTCCTCTCTGAACAGACAGACACAATGAGGTACAATAGCATCGTAGTACACAAGCTCTGTGAAACACTTTAGGTTACTTAGAAATGTGGGTTTCTATATAAACAAACTGTTACTCAACAGCTGCTGTACTGCATTAAACTACAGGGCTTGCTGAGATACAGCAAAATGTGAATAACCTAGGAAGCAAACTAAATTTACTTTCCAAGAAGCCTACTTACTGTAGGCATACATAAAAATAGCTACACGATGCTGGTTTTATGCAAGATATATTTTGTTCTTTAGAGGAGTGGTTTATATTTCCTATCTTTTACTCAAGCATGTAAAAAAATTTACATATTCTTCTTACCACGGCCTCTTAAATAAACACCTCACCAACATTTTTTACCTGATGAGAAGATTAAGGTATTAGTGCTTTTAGCCTCAGTCACAAAACAAATCAATATTGCTACTCAGTTGGAACCAGAAAAACAAACCTTCATCCTCTAATCTTCACATTACAGCTCTGTTTATGTCTCTGGGATCTCTCAGTCCTACCCAAACCAGGTGCTGGAAGCCACCACAGCACTCAAAGCCCTGCCTGCCCCAGGCAGAAGCACAGCCCAAGTTAGGGAGAGGTGGGTTGGGAGGGTTTATATCTCCCTGTGGCTGAGTGGGAGCAGGGCCAGGGGCCACGAGGGATTGGCCAAAAGACAAGTCCTTCTGTAGGGTTGGGCCAAAGAGAGTGTCCTGGGCTGGGGCACCATCGTCCCGCCCCCAGACCCGTGTCCTGTACCCAGACCCATGTCCTATTCCCAGACCTGCGGGAGCAGCGTTTGCCTGGGGTGGGGTGGGATCTGTGATAATGCACGGGACAGTTTGTACATTAAACAGGGCACTTTGGATCTCTGGAATGCTCTTGAGTGAATAGTGGAGACAAGTTCTTAAGGAGCTGCTGTTTTCCTTTCCCAGCAGAGTGAGGCAGCTCACTGCCCTGCTTCTAGACACTGCTCACCCTACACGTGTTCATCATAAAACTTTCATGGGGCTTGTTGTGAGAATAACAAAGTACACAATCTGCTGAACTGCTCCGTGTCTTTTCTACAGAAGGGCTGTGCTGTGCTCTGAATGAATGGAGGAGCTTGATCTTCATGTCCTTCAGGTGCTGGGCCTGCTCTGGGGAACTCTCAGAAAACACCTTCCCATGGCATAGTGTTTGTTAAATATCTCCAAATGGCAAACGCTGGTGTAAGAATGTTTTGGGTTTTTTTTCCCCCCTAGATTTACTATCAAGTGAGCATACAACACCCTTATTTGTAAACTGGAATGGAGAGAAAAGGCTGCACTTTCATCTGTGAGTCAGTGTATATCAGCAAAAATTGGTTTGCTAGAAATTCCTATAAATACAGCACAAGCTTTTTTATTTTATTTTAGGCCACTGCCTTTTTGTGGTTTTCTAGGATTTCAGGATTATTAGTTTTTAAATGGAGATAGTTATACAATCCTGGTTACCATAATAACCAGTGCCATGATGATGAATGACAGCTGTCACTTTTGCAGTGACTTCACCCATAGATTTGCTGTAACATTTTCTAGTTGTCATTCAAGACATGGTACCACAATACAGATGATGTCTCATCCTTCTGTGGGAGCTGGAGGGGCTCTTACACCTTTCAGAATTGTGCCTTTTGTTGCATATTTCACTTTAATGCAGACTCTCTACATGCTGTGTCTGTCTGTGGCAGGCAGTACCTGAAGAAGAAAAACTAAAGCAATCCTTTAATTCCCAAACACTCTTTTCTCTTTTTAACCAAGTAAGGAAATAGGAACACAGAAAATATTTTTCAGATTTACAATACCTTAATTTGAAACAGTATCAGCCCCTGTGGAAACAGTATGGTAGACTAAACTAATTTGGTCGTTCTTTTGATGATATTTCTTTAGATCAGTTGCTTCTCAACTCACCAGAACAAAATTAAAACAAAAATAAAAGTGTTCTTTCAGTTGTGGAACATCTTGTTTTACCAACTTTAATCTTGCAAGTAAACTGAAGGTCTGACTCTTACAAGTGTTCCAAAGTCATTCCTTACTCCCCTTCTCTCTCTCTGTTGCTCAGGTTTCATTTTAAGCCCCAACTGTCTTTTGAAACAATCCAGTGTGCAAGCCCTGAATGTGCTGAAGAAAAAAGGAAGGAGCCAGAGATATTTTTTTTTACTGGAAAGCTCTCAGCAAGTGAGGTTTAAACAAAGAGTAATTTCACCTCCAAAAGGCACACTTGTCAGTTGAAGACAAACTTTTAAGTTCATTTCAAGTTTAATCCTGTTCCTGATTCAATGCAGAACAGATCTCTCTCCGAATCTTCTGAATTTAGGAAGGGAAGTGGAGCCTGTGTGAAATCAGCTCCTGATTCTTCCCAGCCAGGCTCGAATGAGATATTTGACTGCTGCTGAGTTGATAATACTTAGCACATATACAGCACAAATTGAGAAGATCTCACTTTACAGATACTAATACATTACTTCACAGTCTCCCTGTGAAGCAGATATGCACATCCCTGTCTGCAGTCTGGGGTTATTGAGGCAGAGCATGTTTAGCTGGCCCAAATTTTAACAAGTTTTTTTTTTTTCACAAGCACAAACTGAGGCCAAGGAGTGTGGCTGCAGCTCCCTCGCTGTAATTATTCTGCGCTCTCAGTGGGTCTCAAAGCAATTGATGGGATCACTTGATGCACCTTTGGAAGCCCATTTGTCAGCAAATGTGCCTTTGCTGCAAATTATCAGGCAGCCATCAGCTCCTCCTGAGGAGGAGGCCGTATGGTTCTGCTGGTATCACAACAATCAGCCCAAACTGAAGCCGTTTTCTCCGAGGCAGCTGCTTTTTTTGGTTATTATCTGTTCCCCCGTGTTTCTATTCTCGGTGACAGATCAGGCTTCTGTTCTTGAGGAATTCACTCTTGGCAGCAAGAAATGTTCACACTCCCCATCATTTTTCATAGACTAATCTGTGTTGGGAATTTTCGGTAAATAACATGAAAGCATCAGTGATTGAACACTTTGGGGAAAACAGTATCATTAGGTTGATTTATTTTTCTCCTTAAAGACAGCAGCTTCTGAAACACATTTTCTTTCCAAGTGTCTATAGGTTCTATAATTATCTGATCTTTCTGTTTGCTAGTTGTTTTGTAAGTTCTGTAAGTAATAGATCATGCTGCATAGTTTCTTATTCAATTTCAACACTGATACCTCATGCTGATGTTGTGAGGTTTGGTTGAGTTATTGTGGTTTGAAATCCTTGGTTTCAGAGGAGAATCTGAAGCACAATATTTTTACCTGTATAAATACACTGCCTGTGTAAGACAGTGTTATTCAAAAGGTGATAAGGTGAAGGAAAGGGGGAATGGACTCTTGTAAAGTTCTGTTTCTGCTGTTCAGAGGGATGTTCCAAACACCTGTTGATGCTCAGATCGAGCTACAAGAGTTATTCAGGGCACTTCCAAACAGAAATGAGTTTGTGGGGGTGGGAATGTATTTTCTGATTTGAAAAGGTCTGGATATCAGATATACATGGCAACCCAGGCACTGAATTAATTAATTCTTATAAAATAGAGATATTCTGAAGTGGAACTGCACACCTCTCCCCACAACTATGGGCTAACATTGGCTGAGTTTGGCATTGCTGGCAGGGATTTATGCACTGGATTGTTTGGTGAACCCTGTGTTTGGTTTCATTTTTACCCAATGATTTGGAAATATTTCTCAGGCTGAATGCAACGTGCTGACACCTGAACACCACATCCAGCCATTTCCAGGTTTCACAAACTGCTCTAGGCATGAAAATCCCGAGGGGGATGGAGTGTGCTAGGAGAGTGGAAGGGGTAAACTGGCTGCACTGGGAGTCTGTGGTGTCTGATTAGAGCAACCACAGCTCCAGGCACCTCTGATTGTCTGAATACTCGATGCCCTCTATGTCCCAGCAAAGCAGCCCCACTTGGGTTCTGTGCTGCAGAGTGTAACGTGTCACCCTGACTAATTGCCTGGGCAGACACAAGAGAGATAAGAGCAGGGAGGGCAGAGGGAGGCAGATATTCCAGTGTGGAATTGTAGTGCACAGAACCCCTGGGATGGGTCCAGAGGGTAGTGAGTCCCTGCAGCAGGGCAGGGATGATGGAGAGACACGTCTGGAGGTGGGAATTACAGGAGTCCCTGAAACAGGAGTCTGGGAGGGGAGCACACAAGGACCTTGCAGGGGCTGGAGTGAGTGGATGCACAACTCTGTGGATATACAGACTGGCCACAGCATTTATTAACTACTTCACCCTCATTGTGTGAAACTGTTTTCTGAGTGTTTGCAAGACCTCTGTAGTGCATGTGAGGTTTTTGGTTGGAATGACATAATTCTTGCAGACATTTTATTTTGATAGATTCTGTGTTTGAAACCAAGCACACAAATCAGATTTTATATGGCTCCAGTGCCAGTCCAGGTACAGAAACTGAGAGAGGTTGGTTTGTCATTGTAGCCTGTCTTTGCTCTTGGCTTCAGTTATCCTCATACTAAGACATCCCAACCTGCTGTGATTAAATGAAAACCCGTTTGTGAAACATTGTCCTCATTTTGTGTATCCAGATTGGCACAGGAAAGACTTGTCTTCTTGCTTTCTGTGTGTGGAATGTCTACAATCTAACCATTGCTGGTACCTTAAATGGGGGACGTGAGGAAAACCAATCTGCTTCTGGGCTTCAGGTCATTTGTTAAAATTTTGGAGAAGCCCTGAGCATGTATGGTGATGAAGCAGTGCTGCAGGCACCACTGATTATTTTCACAAGCTTTTATTATATTGTCCATTATAACAGCTTTTAGAATTCCTCTAAATAAGGAATATTCACTCTGTCCAACCAATCTTTCGTCTTTTTAACACCCTTGTTGTATTTCCTGCTTCCTAACACTGAAGGACATCAGGGTGGTGTTCCCAAGCATGCTGATGATGTGCCTTGAACTCTGAGGAATGGCGTGTTTTGCATTCAGGATCACATTTCAGTTTGCTGCCTGAACCAGAATGTCACTGAGGGCAGTGCAGAAATGCTGCCTCCTGCTCAGAGCCTCCCTGCACAGCCCCTGCCCTCCAGCCCACCCCAGCTGATGCTCTGGGCTCCACGGGATGAGCACAAACAGTCCAGGATGGTTTTTATTGTTCTTCTTTTGTGACTTTGGCTTCCCAGTTACCCAGTAGTGTCACAGATAACTGTGCTTTTGAAGTCCAGATCCAGAGAGAAATTCGGGGAATTAGCTTTGTTTGAAGGAGTGAGAGCACAATGCCTAAGTCTGTAGTAGATAAATATCTACTAATAAATCCTCTGTTGGAGGGGAGTAAAGAGAAGAATCATGGATTTATTTCTTAGCCCTTTTATTGTCAGTGACCATTTTCTCCTTAAAATCATCTCCTCTTGTCTTCCCTTCCCTTACACTGAAGTCACTCTCAAGATGCAGGCAGAGGCTCTAAGCTGCTGTGTGCAAACACACAGAATTACATTTTCCTCCTTCCCACTCCCAACCCTTTGCTGGGAGCTCTTTGTGAGCTTCGCTCCAGTAACTTTGTCTGATCCTCTCTTTGCAGTTGCTAATTGGACTGGCAGGGATATGAAGTGACTGCAAATAACTTCATTCCCTCAGTGTGTGCACATTGGAAGGGTCACAGAACAGAAAAGCAGGGCAGAGTCCAGACTGGTGGCTCGTGCCAGCCGGCCTGGCAGCCAGAAAATGGCACTTGCAGGTGCTGGTTGTGGTACTGCAGGCAGGGCTCTGATAACCAGCACTCTGAACACTCAGTGTCTGCTGCTTCCCGGAATGCAGGTGCAGGACTTGCCTGCAGGAGAGGAAATTCCAAAGTCTTAACTCTGCAGAGTGGGAGAGTGGCTTTCTGAATAAGCTTTGGATGCCTTTTGTTTCCCCTTGAAATGATGTGGCATCGTGGAGAGCTGTGCTGTGACTGCCACAGGGATGGGATCTGCAGGATCCGCCGCCTTGGAAGAAGGCAGTGTGGTAAAGACTGGGGTGGTGAATCCCAGCTGGCAAAGGCCAATCCTGTTGCATCTGGGAGGTGTGTGGGTGGTTTGGGTTGATTTGCATATCTAGCTGCTTCCTTGTTTGTTTGGATTTAGGAGAAGTCTGTGTCCAAGCCCTGAGCTTGTGGATGATATTAAGAAATAGAAGCAGGAGTTGCTAACCAACAAAAAGACTTTCCCAAGACAATCACAGCATAATCTTATAATCTCTTGTTGTGTTTATATGCAAGAGAATCCTCTAGAGCAATGCACACAGGTCATTTGTTTTGACCAGAAAAGGCATTTTGTATATGTGGCAGGAGAACAAATTTGTGCTATGGGGGATAAACGGGAGGGTGAGGTAGAAGAAATTCCAGAGCTGCTTCCTACCTCAGTTCTGTGAGAGTCCCAGTTTTGCTACCAAGAGAAAAGATCCCTGGTCAGCTGGAGTTGTTTTTAGGATTTCTGGCCTGCTCACTGGCGGTCAGATCCCTGCTCAGCCCAGCAGCAGAGCCTTGTCAGGGGTTGGATGTGTTGTTCAGCAAATGGGAGAATCATTACTGCTGGCTCCGTTAGAGATTAGCTGGACAAAGCTCCTGCTAGATAAGGGTAACAAGACAAATAGCCCTGGGTGACAGCATGCTCCAACACCTGGTGGAATCCAGCCCTCTGTCAGCTTTTTTTGGAGACTTGCCCAAAAGCCTGTCAGGGCTGCAATAATACTCTTACTCTGCGCTGCAGGGGACTTAATTCATCTACTGATGCCAGTTTTTTGGGCAGACTTAAGCTAATGAGGTCAGTTGTGAGTATGGGGTGGGCTGATGTACTATTAGAAGCACTTTCATCTCCCTGGTTTTCCTTCTTTTAGAGACCAATCCTGTAATTTGAATGCTGTGAATTCCATCACTGTCTTATCCTAAAGGAAGCGATGTGGGAGACTGACTGACTGCTTCTCCTTCTGTTTCCACAGATGGTGATGTGGTAAATGTAGCCAAGCTCTTCTCTACCTAGGAGACATTCTCCCCTGAGGAGCAGTTCCCTTCTGCTGGACATGCTCACAGAACTGCACAGCCATGGACCTCAAGGAGAAGTGTCAGGTAGGTTTCCTGATAAGGGTCACACCCGACTTAAATGTGAGTCCTTTCAATTGTCTTTCATTATTTTGGGTCAAGACTTGCCATTTGGCATTGCTGTTGAATGGTTTCACATTAATCCATGGTTAGTATCTAAGCTGAGAGTTCTGTCACCCTCACATCCCTAGGGATGTGCTTGTATCAGCAGGGAAATCCTTTGCAGGCTGGGACTGAGGCACAGTGGAACAAGGTGAGGTGTGCACTGTCACACCTGCTGTGTCTTTCTTGAGCTCTCAGGTAGTGCTCCATTCCCCTGGACACTCAGCTCAGCTTTATTTGAGGGGCTGAATTCACTGAGAAGATTTTTTAAATAAACTGAGGCAATAAAATCATCTGAACCCAGTTTTTCTGGTGCTAACTTGGGGTCTCGGCTGGCTCTGGTGAGAGAACATTCTTGGTTTTCCTCTTTGGTGTCCCTCTCCCCACCACACCACGAGCTTTTGTCTGTTGGCTGTCTCTGTTTTCCTCTTTGCATCCCTTCCCTGCTGTTTTATTTACAAGTGCTTCCAGCAGCAAGGAGTGGTTTTGTTCATTAGTGCAAAGTACCTGTTAGGGAATCACCAGGACCCAGATGGGCTCTAAAAGGTACTACAGCAGTGGAAGTGACTTTAAAAGGTCAGTTTTCCACATCAGCTCTACTCAACTGCTTCTTTGCTGGGTGTCTGTTCTGAGCTGTGCTGGACCAGGAAGGCCTGGGCTCCCTCCTGCCTGAACCTCTTGGTGCTGCTGTGCCCAGAGGGTGTGTTTGAACTGTGTTGTTTTATATCTAATTGCTGTATTACTACGGAGGTAACATTCCAGTGAGGATGATTATCTAATTATTGCCTTGTTAGTGACATCATGGGCTGATCTGGCATTGATCATTTAAAGAGATGACGCAGGGGTGTGTTCTGTGCAGGATCTGAGAGCACCAAAGAGAGCAGGGCACAGCAGGGACACTGTCATTGTGGGTCACTATTTTTGGTTCATCTCTGCCTTTCCCTTCTGACATTCTCCACTGTACAAGGCAGGAAGAGCAGATCAAATTGCTGGGCAGGCAGCAGCATGGACAGTGTTGTAACAGACCTTTAAGAGGCCTGCTGGAAAGTGTCCTGGCAAGGAGATTACAGGGGAAATCGTGGTGTCCTCAAGTCCTAACCTCCCCTCCTGACTTCCTGAAGTTTTTTCTCCCTCCTTTCTGAATGGGAATTAAAAGTGAAGGCAGGAGATCACCACACTCTTTTCAATAGGATTTAAAAAAAACCCCACAGGTATGTCCAGCTGCTTTTACAACTTGTTTTGTTATCAACCCCATGGGAGGAGGTTGGAGCTAGATGGTCTTTAAGGTCCCTTCCAACCCCAATCATTCTGTGATTCTATGATTCTATATGATTTGGGCTTAAGGAGTTTGCTCCTTTTCTATTTTTTTTCCATACTGCAGATTCTTGTTTCCTTCCCTTTAAGTTAGAATCCATCTTCCTTCCCAAAGTGAAGAACTTGCACACATATATACCGATAAGGGAACAAATTAACCTGCTTTGTAACCTCAGTAGTAAATCTGATGTGCTAGGTTTATTTTAAAATGCTAAAAATAAAATGAACCCAAGTGAAAACATCAGTCCCAAATCTAGTAGAAAGCAATCTCTTTGCTCTAATATATGTGTGTGATGAAGAGTTAGCGCTCCTGGAGCAGGAGACGTGCTCGGAGCGCTGCTGCAGCACAGACATCTGTCACTCAGATGAGAGGCTTGTCCTCTGGCCCAGTCAGCTAATAAGTTCCATTGTCAGAGAAGGCTGAGGATCAGTCTGTCAGGTGTAATGTAGGCTGCCTTCCAGTTTTTGCCAGAAGCCAGACACCGCAGAGAAAGGCAGAGAGTATTTTAGGAGCAGTGCCAAAACCTTCTTAAATTAAATGTGCTGGTATCTTGTTCTTTCTCCTCTTTTCCTGACTTTTTAATTTTCTGTGTGTTTTTGAAGTGAATTTAATCCTTGTGAAAGGTGCCACAGTCTCTGCTCCAAGACCACTCAGCATCTATGGGCACAGAGAGCAGCACTGATGGCCACAGGACAGGGAGGAACCTGAGTTTGCATTGTGTGAGACGTAGGCTGTGTTTGCAGCAACACAACTATTAAAAATTATTGACATCATCCATTCCACAGTTACCAATAACAACTGAGCTGTATTATCCTGGTGTAATTGCTGCAGCCTGGATACAGCACCCTGCCTCCTGGCCAGAGCCTGGGAATGTATTCAGGGAGCTGTGCTGTGCTCCACATCACTCCAGCTCCTGCACTGGTGCTCCTTATTCCAGGCTGCTTAACAGGAACTGCAGTCCTACCTTTGGACTGAAAAGTAGCCCAAGTCCTTTGCCTCTTCTCATCCTCCCAGTGGCTGTATCTCTGGGTTTATTCCCTGCTGTACTCTAAAACCTCACCTCTTTTCCCAAGGGCTTTTTCACAAACTGATGCTTTTCCCACAGGCGTCTCTCACCCGTGCTGCAGTTTTTGTATAGTCAGTCCCTGCCTTTATACTCAGCCTTCTATTTCAAATCCCAGTTTTATCTTCAGATCACAAGCTTTCATTTTTGGCTCTTTCATTGTGGTATTTAATGCACCAATGCATATCCAGATGCAATTTCTGATACCAGTTGATATCAGAAGGAAAGTACATAGTACAAATTACTGCCCTACACAAAACACTTTAGAACAAGGTCTCTCAGCAGTGGGGTAAATGAGAAGAGGCAATTTCATCCATTTCCATTTGTGTTCATGACCAAAGCTGGAGGTTTTGAGGTGGGAGAAAGTTGTGTTGGGACCTCTTAATTGCAGGAAGCACAAGGGTTGTTCCTGGTATTGCACTGTCACAAGCAAATTGGTTTATTCACCTTCATCCAAGTCTCCAGGAGGTGCAGAGCCATGGAAAACAGGTCAGGAAGCAATATCATAAAGGGAGGGTGTTACATGTATGTTGTGTGAGGGTTTGTCCACTCTTACCTCATCTTGTTGTTGTTGATCCTTTCTTTTTTTCTCTCCTTTTTTCTTTGTGTTGGAGGGAGTAGGTGAGTACTTTCTTAGCAGGAAAGGAGGAAGGAAGGAAAAATTGTGCCATTAGCACATTTTGTTCCTCTCTGCGGTTTAAAATTGTTGTCTAGGAAACAAAATGCCCTGCAGAAGGATGAAGGTTGTCTTGCCTCTTTCTCGCCCTGCTTTCTCCTGAAGTTACATTAAATAAATACAAAGTGTCTGCTTCCCTTCAGTTTTGGCTGCAAGAGCTATGGGGTTACACACTGATGTGTCACTCAGTGCCACACACGGGTGATAACGAGACCCTGCTTTGGGTTTATTGTAAATACTGAGACCTCTTAATCTCTGCAGTTCTGGCTTTAAACACAGAATATGGACTGTGCCTGTTGAAGCATTTGAATCTCAGGGCCAGACAGGAAGTGAAGAGCTTGTCCAGGGAGGGCAGGTGAGCCCTGGCACCTGCCCGTGGTCTGCAGAGCTGCAGGATGTGCTGGGACTGGCAGCCTTTGCAGTGCCTGCCCCGTTTGGTACCAGCCAGCTGATCCTTGGCACACTGTGGATGTGCTGCTTGGCTGGGCCAGTTTCTTCACCCCTTTCTGTGCAAAATGAAAGTACTTGTTTTAGTGATTTCTCTGCAGAACTGGGAAGCCCCAGACAGAATTAGGACAGCACTGAAGTGGGAGCTATATAAAAACTCACTTTTAAAGGTGCATCTCTCCAACGATGAGTAGGAAGCATTGCTGTAAAAGATGAGGAGGAGGGAGAAGGATCATTCCTTCTTCACCTTTTTATCCCATTACCTGCTGTTGTACCCAGCCCTTCCCTGTCTACACTAATCCTTTGCCTTCTGTCTGCCATGCCCAGGTAAATAGGGAGCCCCAGGCAAGGCAGTGAAGAATTTACATGCACCTTTTCGCTGAGATTGTGTGGCTCAGGGTGTGTGAATATTGGATGCTCAGAGGGGCTTTTGCTGCATTGTCTATCAACAAGAGAAGAGGGAGGAAATGCTTCAGACTGGACTGTAACTATCTCAACTTGTTTAAATAGCAAATGCTCATATTCTTGAACTGAGCTTGGATCCAGAGCTGTGGAGTCATCTGTGGGGAGTTAATATTCACTGCATCTCAGTCTAGTCTTTTTCCCTGCCTGCTCAGGTGTTCCCTCCCCTGTGGTATATTTTATAGCACTTTGTCCTACCTAATTTGCCATCTGCTTTTCCACAGACCCCTCTCTGTCAGCATCAGCCCTTACTGTGCATGCATATGCAGCTCTGCAGGCAGGGAGCCCGAGGATTGTGACTGCATCGGCTCCCTCTGTGAATGAACCGTTCTTACCCATATCTGCTGCTATCCTGGGCAAACTTTCTTCTCTCCCTCCTTTTCCCCCCCTCTCGTTTCTATCCCTCATCCCCCACCCCCATCCACCGCCTCCTTGCTGGATCTGCAGCGTGACTGGAAACAGGCTGAATTAATCAGCAGACTGGTGCTTCACTCTGCTGCTTCTGTCTCATTCTCTGCAGCGCTGGGCTCTGCACAGTCTTGCTCTCTCTCCCTCTTTGCTCTCTCATTTTTGGAGAGCAGCAGCAGTGCAAGTTGCTGGGGAAGTGGTGCAGGAATTTAGCCCAGATGCTCTTCAAACAGGCCGATCTCTGGATCCACAACCAAGGCAAATGTCGCAAAGTAAGTTCCTCTCCCTTAACATTTAATTTCAAAATGGCTTTCCCTGCCTCCCTCCCCAGCCTGCATCCTGCCTGATGTGATGGTGCATGAAGGGCTTGGAGGTTTTGGGGAAGGAGGTTATGGCAGGACATGAAGCAGTGAGTGATGATTTTAGCTGGGGAATAGCTTTTTGTTGGAGGTGGCGGGGAAAGAAACTGTATTAAACTGCAGATTTACCCCCAGAACCAACAGGAGAGTCCAGACAGGATTTTAGCTGCTGACTCCTGTTTTGCTGCCCCTCTG